TCACTTTTGTCCATCCACCCCCCCCATTTAGTCGAATCAGATATCCTTTCCCCTACCTAACTCCCTCCCTCCCCCCCTTCCCCACCCCCTTCCCACTCCTCCTCCTCTTCCACTCCTCCCCCCCCCTTCCCATCCTCCTCCTCTTCATCCTCCTCCCTACCCCCCCCCATCCTCCTCCTCCTCCCTTCCTCTCCTCATCACAACCTGTTGTTCTCTGCATGCGTCTTCGCCTTCTCGTGTAGATCCCTCAGCGCCTCGATCCACTGATCTCTATCCTCCTCGCTCGCACAGCACAACGTCGCTTCCTTCGCCATCATCGACAGCCTCCCATGCTCCCTCTGAGTGACTGTGAAACCCACTGCTCCCTTCTTCTCGTACTTCCCCACCTCCACGTCCAGCAGGTTGAAGCTCTCCTTCACCTCCTCCTTCTCGCCCCCCAGCACCACCAGGAACTTCTCCCTTAGCTCCACCGTCACGTCCGTGAAACTGCTGCTCACCAGGTTGAAAGTATCCTTCCTCCTCAGCGTCCCCCTCCTTACCACTGTCCCCGCGAACTGATCCATCTCAGCTCCGTGCATCCTCGACAGGAGCTGACTGGAGGACTTGCCTTCCTTGTCCTCTCCCATCAGGATCTTGATGGCCGTCGCAGATCCCTGAATGAAGGAGGACGGAGACTTGAGGGAACCGTCTCCTCCTCCTCCTCCTTCCCCTCCTTCCGCACTCGCTTTCTTTGCATCTGACATGGCGGATTGAAACATTCCTCCGAGCTTGCTCTTCAGCATCCTGCGCGGCTCAAAGTGAGAAAACGAGAGTCACATTCATGCAAGCGTCAAAGTCAATGATGAACAGAGAAAGGAAGGACACAAGTATGGAATGAGCAGTGAATGTTTCTGACTGAGCCAAATTTGATACAAAGAAAACTATTACTATGTGAGCAGCAAACAACGACGCAAGAGCAGCAAATGGTGCAAGAATGTGTGAAAGATAGGATATATCAGACAGGGATGTACAGATGGATGTATGAATGCAGTGGATGATGGAAGGAGTGAATGAGGGAAAGAGGGGAGGTAATGGAGGAGGAAGAGAGGGAAGAGAGGAGGGAAAGGAGGAGGAAAAGAGGGAGGATGAGGATGAGGATGAGGATGAGGATGAGGATGAGGATGAGGATGAGGATGAGGATGAGGATGAGGATGAGGATGAGGATGAGGATGAGGATGAGGATGAGCGGAGCGGAGCGGAGCAGAGCAGAGCAGAGCAGAGCAAGAGCAGAGCAGAGCAGAGCAGAGCAGAGCAGAGCAGGGCAGGGCAGAGCAGAGCAGGGCAGAGCAGAGCAGAGCAGAGCAGAGCAGAGCAGAGCAGAGCAGGGGGCAACGGGGAGAGGGAGCGGGGGGAAACGGAGAGCAAGGACATCGAGCCCGACCCCCACACCCACCCAAATGGTCAAACCAGTTTATATAAATGTTTTAAATGAAAAACTAATTTAAACAAGTTTGGTACTAGAAAATATACTGAAAGATGTACGGTGATGGAGAAAATTCTAGTACTTAATTATACAAGCCTCGTACACTGACAGCACAATCCTGATTACTAAAATTATTTAGACTGTTTAAAAAATCAACACTACCAGGTTTGCCCCTTTTTAAAATATGCCTTTATGTACAAGGGACTTGGGGAAAACTTGGTAGTCCCCGGGGGAATATCAACGTCTTGATTTGTAAAACACTGTAAAACTGTTTTTTTTTCCCTCCAGCAGGAACTAGACGAGCGACTCGCAGTTTCATGTGCGGTAACAGTACGAGTAGCACAAGATAGGAGGGCAGGAGGCGAGAACCAGCGGCTAGCAGCTCCTCCTATGGTCAGAGCAGCGTGACCCAACACACACTTGCCGTAGTACCCAGAGGGAAAGCATGGCAAGGGATATAAAGGATGCTGCACAGCCTGAGACTGAGTGGGATGGAAGTGTCTTGGGATGGAGGTGTACGGCTTCTAGACCTGGCTGGGTGATCCATTGGTGCATGCCGACGATCCCCCACTAGACCCGATCCTCTTCCTCTGTCTGTAGTACCCGACCGCACAGCTGCAGCTGGCCAGGAAGCCGTTCCCCGACGGCCCAGCACAGGCCGGGAGTCCGGGATCTGCCTGCACCCTTGCCGGCCAACCGCGGTTACACGTAACGGGGTTGCTGCATGACTACATGGACGCGCGTAGGAAAAAGTGCGAATGCTGTAGAAGAGATGCGGGAATGTTGTTATCGCAAGATTGAGGTGTCTGAGAGCTGGAAGGTTGACGAAGCTGCTGGCAGAGTTGCCTCTCAAGGCATTGCTCTCAAGATCGACACTTCGCAGATGAGTTCAGACCGTCGAAGAGTGTGTCCGGGAGGCTAGCAAGTCTGTTGCTGTAGAGCGATGCTTCGAAGAGGGTGGTGAGATCGGCGAAGAGTTCCTGCCTGCATGGTCTCGAACATGTTCGATGAGAGTAGCAGGTAGCCCAGGTTGGTGAGTCGGTTGAAGATCCCTGACGGGAGGGAAGACACCTTGTTGCTCATGATGTATCGAGAGCTCCTTCTGGTATCTCCGTCAGATCGTTCTCTGACAGGTCGAGCATCGTCAGTGCCGTCATGCCCACAAACACCTTCCCTGACAATGACTTGATCCCAAACAAGTGCAGGTCCCAGACACGGTCCGTCTTGCAGGAGCCTTGCCGCGTCAGCTCCCTCCGCTGCTGACGGTGAAGGTACATCCGCCGCATCGCACATAGTCCAAGGTCGAGACGTAGAGCTGCTGCATCTACAACCTGAGAATCGTTCTCTACATCTACAACCTGAGAATCATTCTCTACATCTACAACCTGGGTATCGTGCTCTACATCTACAACCTGGGTATCGTTCTCGGTTCGCTTTCCCGCTGGATTTGCGGGCTGCTCAAGGTGTTCGAACTACGGCTAACACCATCCACGAGGCCGTTGGCCTGGCAGCAGCAGCTCAATCGCGACAACATCGCAGTGTGTTCGACGAAGACAAGGATTGCTACAAGCACAAGTGCACGCATGTCATGTTACATTCTTCATGATTACCATCTTAATATCCTTCTCATAGAAATATTGAAACAAACAGTCTTGACTGTGGGTGCAAGAGACATCAGCGTCTCAAGCTCTGCCCACGAGCATTCAGCTCGACCAGATCAGGCCGAGGGCTTCGCTCCAGGGGCCCGGCGGCCTTGGGCAGCCTGGCAAAAGTCACTGACCGTCGGCTGGGAGGGCACAGGGAAGTTCTTCACCCTCTTGACAAGCTTCTTCTTGAGAGGGTTGCGGGAGTGCTTCTTCACTGCATCTCAGTCACTGGACGATGCGGGAGAGGGACGAGGCAAGTCAGACCTCCGCTGATCTTGGCCGAGCCCCCCACAGGGATCACCTTCTTGCCCAGCTGCCTCCTAGCAGCGCTGGGTCGCATGTCAGAGACCAGCCTTGCAAGTCGCGCATGCTCAGACCTTGCCGCCTTCGCCACCACCCTGTCCTTGTCCACCTTGGCCCTCATGGCGGCTGAACCAGCTGTAACGCTGCAGGAGCACCAGGCGTGAGGTGACGTCAAACGTCCCCGGCAAGGCACGAGCTCACATCTCAGACTTCTTCCCCGCGGCTGCGCTCGCTGCTTTCCTGGCTGGCGGGTTCTGCTTGGCCGCCTGGCCTGAAGGAGCAGCAACAGCAGCAGCAGCTTTCTTCTCCTTGGGCTGCGACTTGTTGGTCGCCTTGGCGCTGGTCTTGGCTCCTGCCTTGGGGGGCCTTCCCTGTTTCTTCTTTTCTGGCTTGACATCCACATTCTCATCAGTCTTGCTCTTCTTGCCAGTCTCCTTGGAAGCTTTCTTTGTCTTGGCTGCTGCCTCTTTCTTTCCTGCAACCTTGGCTTTGGAAGTGGCTTCGACTGTTTTCTTCGTGCCAACTTTCTTCACGGCGGAAGAAGCCTTGGACGTCTTGTTGTCCTTGGATGTCTTCTCCTTAGCAGGAGCCTCCTTGGCCTTTTCTCCGGCTTTTCCAGCCTTCTTGATCTTCTCAACGCCTTTCATCACCCCTTCGTCCTTCTTGGCGCTCGCAGCCTTGGTCTTGCTCTTCGCCCCAATCTTCTTGGCAGGTTTCTTCGCGGCAGCATTGGCGACCTCGGCTGGTTTCGTTGACGGCGGTCGTCCTCTCTTCCCCGCCGGCTTGCCAGCAGCTTCAGACTTGAGCTTGGGGGCCTTTTGAGGTCTTGCCGTCGACTTCTGAGCGACCGCTCGGACGACCGGAGCATGCTGGGAGGTATGAGGGTCACGAGTCAATCTCAAGTCGGAGAGCTCAATGCCTGCTGCGGGCGATGGAGAGCTGCCTGTCGCTTCGGCCTGTCGGAGATGGCGTTGTCTATAGAGCCCTGAGAGGCAGCAAGTCAGACCCGGCAAGTACGGGAGGGACCGGGTACCCGAGCTGCCTCCAGGCTGGGCTGTGACTTGGCAGCATTTGGAGCATATTTTTGAAGCTTGTCGACTATGTCTTGCGCTCTCTTAGATCTGTTGTCTTGGATCTTTGCTCTCAGTGCTTCAAACTGTTGCAGAAGCATGAACTGAGGGAGTTGTGCTGTGTAGTGAGCAACGTCACTTACGCTAGCGTTGTTTTCTTGTGTAGTTATTCTCTTCTTGGGAACCATCAGCTCAGGCGTATTCTTGCAGGTCAGTCAGTTACAACAAATAGAAAAATGAGCGGAGGACCTTCAAGGTCTGGTCGTCCAACTTCCATGCGTTGAACGCTTCATAAGGACGGAGGTTCTTTTCTTGGACCTGTCGGAGGAACATCAGCATCACTCTGCGACAAGTGCAGTCTACAAGACAGGTCTAGATCTACCTCGCGAGTGAGAATCGCACGAAATCGCATCATGTCATCATCCTCTGCATATGGTATGTATGCAATGACATCCGCCAAGTCTCCCTGAATGGTATGAGGGAAGCATTCAGCGACCTTGCGATCACAGCCGGCAGCATGACCTTGAAACGATGGTAAAAGGAAATCAAGTCTGACTTCTCCGGAGGATTGCCCCTATACTGTAGACGGCATCATGAAGGGAGTAGGACTGTAACAGTCTTAGCTACTTACCTCCTCCTCGAACGAGACTATGTCCTCTTGCGAAACAACCTGGACCCATCGCGTTCAGCGGCGCTCGCAAGGTCGCAGATGGGCATCTCAGTACCCTCTCAAGTTGTCTGAAGTACTCGACGACATCGTTGAACGCCATGTCTCCCATCCCCATGCCGAACTCGGTCGTATCCTCTTCCAGAAGGCCTGCAAGTTGTATTACACTTAAACGTCGCACAGCCTCCGGTCTCACCAGAAATATCATACAAGCTCTTCTTGCTGGGGTCTGACAAAACTTCGTATGCTTTCTGTCAAGATATCAGGTATCCAGGATCGTGTGCATCAGTGTAAAGTACTTGCAAGATTTGAAACTTTGCAGTTGCTTCTTCGACATTGTGCTGGTTTCTATCGGGGTGGGCAAGAATAGCAAGCTTTCGGTAAGCCTGACGAATTTCCTGCTCATCGAGCGTTAAGGCATGATATTGGTAGTACTGTCAGCTACCTTAGCACCTGCCGATCTATCCAGGCCGAGAATATTATAGAAGCCATAAGGAACTTGCGATCGCGTGAGCCACGACTCGTCAGTCTTGCCGACATCGTGGTTCTGAAGCGGCAGGTCGCTTGAGTAGAGTGAGTCCGTCTCATCCTTGTCAAGGTTCTGCGTGTCGGGGCAAGTGTCAATCCTCGGCTTCTCATGGTTGCCTCCACCCTTGTTCGAATCATTCGCCAACATGCTTTGATCAGCCACGTCCATGGCATCACCGGCAGCCTGTTTCTTCACACTCTTTGCAGCCGCTGCCTTTGGCTTCTTCTTGGGAGCGCCTCCTCGGAGACGAAATGCTGCAGCCACACACTTGGCGTCATGAAGAGGAAGCGTGCGGAGATCCGGTCTGGTCCCTGCAGCTTCCCTGGCCCACAGGACACCACCAGCGCTGTTTCCTGGCAAGAAAGACAAGAAGATAACAGCGCCAGAGAAGACCAGGACGAGCTGATGCACTAGTCTTCGTTGCGCATTCATCTCTTCTCGCAACTTCATCGCCTCACCCACCTAGAACTTACATCCGATGCGCCCAAATGCACAGTAGTACACAATCCAACCGCTCTCTACGCATGGACCTGTGGCGCTCCTGCCTCTTGATGCCTGATGATGAAGAGGTGTATCGAGAAGAAGATTGGGCAGCAGGGGAGAGGGATAGGAAGGAGGAGGAGGAGGGGGCGAGCGGAAGAGGGGAGAGGGAGGGAGTAGAGTGCGGGTAAGGAGGTGGCGGGAAACAAGGCAAATTTTGAAATAGGACGAACGAAAATCAGGACCCCTCATGTATGAAACGTAATTTCATATCAGAGGGTGGGGTGATTGATTTCTTTTTTTAAGTTTCAGTACATGTCAATAGTTTATTTTTAGAAGTCTTGACCAATCGTTCAACGTTGAGCGAAAGTGAGTTTTTCCGAAGGGGATGGTAACGTATTTTTTAACCCCTCCAAGGAGTCCAATTCAGACGAGGGGGTACTTTTTAGGAACTTTTGATTTAAAAACCACGGGTACTTCTAGTACCCTACCTAGGTCCATGGTCGCCATTGTGTTGAAACATTTGAACCAATGTAACGGTTTTCTCGGATACTGGCGGATACTTCTCCGGATACTTTTCCGGATACTTTCTTAGTTTGACCATGTCGATCGAAGTGGGCGAAGTGCGATGGCAGGTGAGGAGGAGAGAGAGAGAGAGAGGACATAGGACAGAGGAGAGAGCAGAGAGCAGAGAGGAAGAGAAGAGAGCAGATAGCAGAGAGGACAGAGGACAGAGGACAGAGGACATAGGACAGAGGAGACAAGGAGGGGAGACAGCCAGAGGAGACAGGAGAAAGGAGGAGGACTCCTCCGAGAGGAGAGAGAAGAGAGGACAGAGGACAGAGGACAGAGAGCAGAGAGCAGAGAGAGAGAGCAGAAAGGAAAGAGGACAGAGGAGGCAAGGAGGGGAGACAGCCAGAGGAGACAGGAGAAAGGAGCGAGGAAGAGGAGAGAGGAGAGAGAAGAGAGGAGAGAGGAGAGAGGAGAGAGGAGAAAGGGAGAGGAGAAAGGAAGAGGAGAGAGAGGACAGAGGACAGAGGACAGAGCAGAGAGCAGAGAGGACAGAGAGCAGAGAGCAGAGAGGACAGAGATCAGAGATCAGAGAGGAAGAGAAGAGAGGAAAGAGGACAGAGGACAGAGGACAGAGGAGACAAGGAGGGGAGACAGCCAGAGGAGACAGGAGAAAGGAGAGAGGAAGAGAAGAGAGGAGAGAGGAGAAAGGGAGAGGAGAGAGGACAGAGGTGGTGCAGGAGGGAAGGAGTGAATTAAAGATGGAGGAAGTGGTGGCAGAATGATGGCCTAAGATGAACACGAGGGTGAGTCAAGGAATGAGGTGGATAGCGTGAATGGAATTCAGCAAGAGAAAAGGAGGGTGGAGCTCTAGACGCAGCGGGATGGTAGGGCATGTCGAGGATCTATGTCTTGTGCAGAGAATGCATCGAATCTTGACACGATCTGAAAATCTTGTCTCTAAAGGAACTCTTTCAACTCCTGAACAACAAGAAGATATCTGTAAAAACCATCGAATCGACTGTTCCTGGCGAATCGTATGCCAAAGTTTGTGCATGTTTTTGTGGAGCTGAAGAGATCCTCAGGAGTTGGGAAGAAACGAGAACACTCCCGAGCTTGTTCGATTACTATCCACAAGTTGATCTCAAGAGTAACCATGAAAGTCTGGCTGACGGCTGCTGCAGATTAAACATAAGGCCCTGGAGCTCAAGGAGAAGGAAGGGACATGCAAGGCCGTCGAATACCTGGAAAGATTCTATGACTGCATTTGCAAGGGAGACATGAAGCAAGTGGTGCTCGGATGAGAAAGCTTGGATGCCTTGTTCTGACTGCTAAGTTCCATGTTCATCGATCAGCTGCCGGACTTGAATGTAGACGTCGTTGTCGATCTGACAGATGCCGATCATCACAGCGTACGCTTCTTTCTACCTCCGATGACGTCATCGTCCTGCTGATACCTGATCGCAGGAGACAAAGTGGCAGTTCTTGGCAGGGGACGATGGGTACTGGCAATATCTCAGCACTCCCCTGCTCTCCCCGTCCTCTTTCCCTCGTCAACAGTCTCGTTCGATTTTGACGCGTTGTTTCCATCAGCTGGATGGATATTCCTGAAGAGGGGAGTGTGAGTTGCGTTGCTGTTCCCCTCCCCATCCTTCACAAGATTGACACTTTCCCTCTTGACCCCAGGAGGCCATCGAACAAGCCCAGCAGGAAAACAAGGATGTGTGCTTGTTCACAGCCAGCAATCACGTCGAATACGAATTTGTGCGACTGTGCCTCCTTTCGAATGGTTTGAGGGCTTACGCTTCTGCAGAACATCAAGGAGATGTTTCAGAGAAATCGCCGGACAGGAACTGTCCGCCCGATCAGGAAAGTGATCCTATGACTGGGGCCTTTCAGTTCCTTGAGTTCAGGTCGGACCAAACACTTTAGTTGTACGCAGGAGGACCTCTGGAGTAATATGATGATGTTGGGCTGGCATCGGGCATGCAAGCGTCGCAGGCACGTCCCAACATGGTTGAGCCCTTGGGCGATGCGTCAATGGCGATGGCGAGCCTGGGGGGATGCATTCCGTCAAGCGAGAAGGAGGAGGGAGAGATTCGGATAGAGAAAAGGGACAAACGAAAGGAGGATGTGACAGCGAGAGGTCGGAGGGAGAAGGGGTGGGTGCGGGGGTTTGGGTGTGGTTGTGGGCATTGGGAGTTCAACGGTTGGAATCCTCAGGGCCTGGAGAGCGGTTGCCTGGGGGAGAGCTGGGGTATTGGCCGGGCCCTGGGGAGAGAAAGACGAAAGGCTGGGGTTCGGAAAGGCAGGATAGGGAGAGGATAGACAGCCGGGCAGAGGCCCATCGTTTGGGAAGATAAGGGCGGATCCGTGTCCCGGGACTCGAGCCTTCTCCACGGGAGTGCCATATCATGCCGCTGAGAGGCTGCCAGCTCACTGAGTGGATCCGATCGGAGAACAGTGGCAGTGAACTGAGTGGACTGAGCTGAAGGGACTGAGAAACTTTGAAAGGCTGCCACCGTGACACTGAGACGTCGGAGCGGGTGCCCGGCACCGCAGTGCCGGACAGCCACGGTGAGGAGCGGCGGGCGCCCGGGGCGGCCGGGTGTCAGGTCGGAGGCTGCCGACCCGGCGTGACACTCGGCAGGTACTCTGACTCTCACTGAGTTCTCAGCCGCGCGAGTCGCTGGAGCTCAGTCGCCGCCGGGCAGAAACTTCGGAGGCTCCGACGGTCTCGGACTCCGGGCCGCCCGGCACTGGCAGCCCGCCGGGCCTCGCCGATCGGACTCCGGGATCAGCCGCATGATCGGACTCCGGCGGCCCAGTGCACGGTGAACGCCGACACTGCGGCAGTGCCGCCTGGCCGCGCACTGCGGCACTCAGCGGCGGCACTGAGTGGCCGCCGCCGGTTGAAGTTTCGGGCACACTGAATAAAGGCTAGGACCTTGCTAAGTTGGGCCTTTCAACGTTTCTATCCCAGGCTTTCTTTCGACTCAGGCAAAGTTAAAAATCAGTACGAGGACCGTGAATCGGCAGCCTGGCAGGAGTATCATCTCACTACTCAAAGTTAAGTCAAAAATCAGTACGAGCCTCCGACAGCAGGAGAGTAGACGAGCCTCAGGCTAGGCTTGACCACTGTCGTACCGTGCCACGGGCACGGTGGCAGACCATACCGCGAAGGGCTATCAGCGGCCTACTACAGGCTACGGTAAGTTACCTTCTCAATCACTGGCCGCGCAATAAACGGCCCAGACAGTGTGTCGCCGGGCCCCGGCGCTCAGAAAGTTTCAAGTTTCACAGTGAGTCCGTACTGACCAGTGCCACGGAGTGACACTGGCCGGCCGCGCCGGCCGGCCCGGCCGGTCCGGCACCGGGGCCCCGAATGCCTCACAGAGTCAGATTCTCCGAGGCTCAAGAGGGTGGCCGTGACTCTGATCCGATCGGCGTCCCCCAGTTTCTTCGGTTATTGGATTTTATGTTTACTACATGAGATTACTACTTGAGCCCAGCTGTTGGTCACGGCAAAATAAAAGTGTTATAGTACACCAGAAGTAAAATCATTGTTGACCTCTGTGGCAGAAGTAAAACAATATTATTGGGTCGCAAGGATTGGCAACGCCTGTAAAACATTTTTATGCAAGTTTTTTTAAAAGTCAAATTTAGAGCGACTTCGTGGCTGTACGAGAGTTTGTAGCACATCCGCCACGTTGGTGCTTACAAAGTTTTTGTCCTCGTGGAGATCTCGAAAGATACTGTTTACAATCTCATGAAAAACACATTTAGTGATCAAACGACGCAAGACTGGGACGTGAGAAGCGTTGTGTTCCCGTTATCAAGAAAAGGAGAAAAGGAGGTGCCAGGGTCGGTTATCGCTGGAACATGAAGGTACAAAATAACAGCGCAAGGGTGGGTCCTAAGATTCCAAGGAGACAGGGGTGGAGACGCGATACTACACAAAATGCTGGCAAGCCTGGGCCTTGATCACGTCGTCCGGGGTGGGGGTACTTGTTTCTCTGCTAGTTACCCGTGATAATACACTCATTTACACCGGTCTTTGCATTAGAGTGTAGGTAGGGGTGGAAGCATTGTCCAATCCCGTGACTTGTAGTAAAGAAACTTTCTTCGCTTCCTACCGGATGCCGCGGTCCTCGAAGTACGTGCTGAGTAAGTAGAGCAAAGAGGGGGTGGGGGTTGAGTTCCCGGGCATAACAGGCTAGAAAGCAAGGGGTAGGGTAGACAAAAAG